TTGGCGTACAGAGCTTTAGGAGGATCAAGAATTTACGGGGACACTTTTTCTCCACATATAGTGGTATAGCGCCTGACGCTCCAGTGGTTCCAAACTAGTACAACAATGGCCGACCATCAATAACTGCTCAACAGGAAGTTATACTAGTTGGGAAAGCTGCACGTTGGGGGGAGGGAGGTTAGAGATATCTCGTTCAGACACTACTGACGTCCAGGTCATTGTGGAAGCCACAAGGGGGCTCAATGGTGGCACGGAGAGTCCTTCGCCTTCTCACCCATGGAAGAGTGGCACACCAGTGAAGTTGAAAAGCGTTCATGTGACACTTGATCGCACCCGCCTTAGCTCAGCTGATAGAGGGATGGATGGGGCTTTTTAGTGCCACAGGTGTAGACTTTGACTGCTTACGTCGAAATCAGGAAAAGCATAAAATTTGTGCACTTCTTCAGGTTCAAAAGCAAACGGTGCCGTTTCATGACGAAGGACTGTGCAATGGAGACGATGCGAACAAGTGGATTTCATGGGTTTACTCATAAATTCTATGAGGATAGATCAGCCTGTCACATTCTGTCTCAGTGGTCTGATAGCCACAGTCCTGTACACGCTCATCAATTTTGTTTTAACAGGATGCCCAACTGAATTCCACATGAATCTCTCGTTTATGATATTCTCCACCAGTTTCAGTGCCCGTTATCTCGAACTAGCCCTGTATCATCAAAACAGAATATTCATTGTTTTCTACAGTGACAGTACTGAACACTGGAGCGCAAGAGAAAGATGAATGAGGTATTGGAGGGATATTTTCCTTCTTGATTTTCTATCGTCAAAATAGTTTCCCTTCAATAATAATCATTGTCATAATCGACAGCGTATCATCGGTGTCCAACATTGATGCTTGGCTGTTGTATGGGAATTGAAGGTCAGCAATCGGCTGATTCATGTGCGGGGCGAGATAGCTCAAGTGGTTAGAGTGCGAATTTACTGACCAGAAGGTCCGTGGTTTCGAACTCGACCTCTGTCTCTCGACTTCTCCTATCTAAGCTTGGGTGCAACTCGGTAGTATCCCGGCCCTCGTGCTTCCTTCGGGGAGCATGGCAGATAGGCACCGGAAGGGTGTTACAGCTGAACGATTTATTTATTATTTATCTATCTATGATTCATGTTCATGGGGAAATTTCTGACTCAAGAACTCGAACACTATTCACACAGTTAGGCGTGAGTACACTGTGGTCTCTCGCTTGTTCACCGTTTTGTAGCTTGACGATTCTAAATATCACTGAATTTCTCCTTTGAAACGCAGGAAACTTGTCTACAAGCGGTTCAAGTGGAATCACAAGCCGGGTAATCCACTTAAGAGCAACAATGCGTCTACATTGCAACACTTAGAGGCGTGGAAATTGTGGCATTTAGGTAGGTAAACCCAATCTTCACCACTTTTTCAGGATCCAATTCTGTTCTTCGATATTCTCAATTGCGTGATCTCCTAAGCCGAATTGGATGCGGTGATGTCGGCTACATTTTTACATTACGATAGCTAATTTAAGATTGCGCTCGTGAGCGTTCAATCGTCGGGGTGTTTGTGGCGTTTGGACAGTACTTCAAATCACACTTATCTGATGGAGCGTAGATTATAGGTAAAAATTGTATAACTTCTGGGAGTAGCCCTCAAGGAAACAAACGATCATCTCCTCGTTTACCGTTTATCGACATGGACCAAGTGGTTAGAGTGCGAATTTACTGATCGGAAGGTCCGTGGTTCGAATCCGACCTCTGCCTCTCGACTTCCCCTGTCTAGGCTTGGGCAACCTGGCACTATCTCAGCCCTCGTGCCTCCTTCTTGATACCGAAAGGTTGTTACCGCTGGACGATTATTTTTTGTTTTATTATTATCCACCTCTCAGCACGCTAAGTGACCTTGCTTCACACATTTTCAATGTAATGCTAACAAAATACAGAGCACCAGATAAAGAAACTAGATGTGAAGATGGAAATAGGAGCTCTTAGTCACATTTGAAACTGGCTTGCTTTCGGCCATCTCTCCAGAAGATTTGTCTACATTTAGCAGAACAGTGATACGAGATTATTGTATGAAGCTTCATGCACACACATGTCAGTCAGCACTTAATTCATTTGCCAGTTTTCAAGCGAAAAACAGACTTAGTTAGGGTGAATACAAAATTTTGGATACTTTCAATTCGCGGTTGAACTGCCTAGGAAAATACGAACCGAATAACGAGTGTTGAGGAGGGAATGTACCGGGATATTTGTAACTCGGTTGCTTTCGGTGCGCGAACTGACGATGTCATCTCGATTGGCGAAGAAATGTTTGCAAGCTAGATGTCAGGCACGGCAAACAGACCAACGGTCATATGATCAACCATTGAATTCCTGAGCTGGGCTACAGTCTGTGTGCACTTAACTCATACACTCAATTGAACTGAGCAACTTCTCAATAGCGTTTCATCAACCTCGTCAAGCTTAGGTCAACAGATCTAGAAACAGCGACCTTCTCTTTATCTTCCATCAGTGATTGATGCAGCGCTGTTTTCGTTACCAATGGCGACACCGAGACATACGCATTCCGCTAAAGCCTACAGAACTTCAGTGCGGCCAACTGTTCTTAATGTGTGTATGAAACCTGAAATCTTGGTACTGAAGAGATTGCTTATCTGTGTTCGCTCATCTCTGCAATCGAAAAGTTTGGTCCTCTGATAGTAAAAGCCTGTGAGCTACTGTGAAATGCGACGAACTGTCTTCAGTGAATTCCAGGCGACCGTACTGAGAGGTGCTCCTGTGGTTTACTGACTGACGATACCTCAACCGCACTGACTTGGCGCATCCGTGTTCAGATTTTTGAAGAACACGGGTCAATGCAGATGAACTGCGATTATTTCGACGGCTGCTGATTCGCTGTTTGGGCCTCTAGTCTCCAGTGTTAAGGTCCCAAATATGATTGATTGTAGCTAGCGACTCCACCATACATGGTTCACTGTCTTCCGTTCTCGGCCACATTAGGTTTCTGTAATCCTCTCATTACTGCGCACACCTTATCTTTTCCGTCGTTTCGATCCTCTAGCGTTTCCTAATTATCATCGTATATATATATATACTACGACGGGCGCTTTCTAGTAGAGAACTCAAGTTTATGCCATCTTACTGCTTTATTAATCATCACAAAGCGCTGAGGTCGTTTTATCCGATCGTAAATTTCCAAAATCTGAAAAATCCAAGACAGAAGTGTTGAATTTATCGGTTGTTCCACTTAGAAGTACACAGTTCTGATGTACCTCAGGGGCACCAGTCTTTTTTCAGTAGTCCACTGTTGTGATTGAGTTGATATATGCTCTTCGACACATCGCCTGATTTTCGGCTTCCACACTCTCCGCATTCTTTTCAGCAAACACTCTACTATTTGGCCTACTTGCTTGGAGCACAACACGAATGAAGTATCTTTGGACGCCGCATTTGTTGCTTGTTGCTACTTATGGGCTGATCACGGTCATTCGTCAGTGTTGCGCCTTTACCGCCAGTTTGTCGACTACCGTTAACTTCCGTAACCAATTATCAGAGAAGAGGAATTCGAAAGGCGGTTCGCCAGATGTTTCAAAAGGTTCCAAACAGCGCGATTCTAATGGATTCCGACTGTGTCCATCTGAAGACAAGGGTGAGAGACGGCAGAGGCTGATGCTTAACACTCTTCTGATACTTGTAACGCTCGGTGTCAATTTAAAGGTAATGGATGGTATTCATCCATTTGACTCTGAACTGGTCCATCTTAGTCAATCACCCATAACTTCGTGTTAGTAGTGTGAAGAGAATTGGTGCTTTTTGTGGAGGTTTCGGTCCCGTAGGTAAAACCAATCTCTGCCAAAAATCCGAAAAGCCGCTCGTGACCGAGTCAACTGGCAGGGAGTCGACCAACGACGCAACTGGACTAAACCAACCAAAGTGTTTAGACCTGTCCCCATGTATAGTTCTCGGTCGAAATCAGGATCGCAGTCCAGTTTTAACAATAGGTCTCGGTGTATACTTACTGCTAGATAAATATCGTCACATGAAAAAGTCCGTCTCAATGGTCGTATGCCGTCACCATTCTCTCAGAGTTGTTTACACTGGAATGTACAATCGGTTCACCGGCTAACCATAAGTTGCCCGCATCGTGCTTCTTTCGACGAAGACTGTGTGTGAAATTATGCATGAACTGATTCACTGGTTCCTCCTGTATGTCGACAATGATGGTGATGTGTGTGGAACGAACTGGGCTTGGTTGTCCCGATTGAGTTTTGATTTCCTTACATCTGGGCAACGAGGTTACGCTACCTGGTAGTTGATTTGTTCACCCAGCTTACCAGACCTTTCGTCACTAGCCGAGGAAACACCATCGGTATGCAATTGAGTACGTGGCGTGATAGCAGGAAATGGAAAAGTGGAGTAAACATGTGGTTGTACAGTGAGTTGAATGGATGATCGGTCAGGTCAGGTTGCTCGAATTAATCGAAGTGAAAATTAAATATCGCTCAGCCCTAGCGCCCTTCCGGTGCCTAGTTGTCATACCACCCGAAGGAAGCACGAGAGCTGAGATACTACCAGGTTCCCTCATCTTAGACAAGAGCAGTCAAGATGAGGAAGTTGGGTTTGAACTACAAACTTCCACATCAGCAAGTTCGCGCCTTAACCACTGATCTATCTCGAGGTGAATAAATTCGAAATCAGATGTGGAGGTTTCAGAGATGATGGTACTGTGGAACAAGACGCATCAATTCAGCTCCAAAGTTTCAGTCTTCGTGAATTTTCGATAGCTATGGGCACCGTAGGTGAATGGAGTGTCACTCATCTCTTTTCTTGAGCCATGTTGATGACTGATTGCATCCAGAAGAGTTTTGTAGTGGGTATGTTCAGTTACGGAATTCTCTCAATTTTTCCGATGTCTGCTGTCATTCTAACACTCCTTCCGTTTCCCGTATTTTCGTATTCTCCGTATTCTCGTATTTTCAACTTTCTAGGTAGCACTGCAGTTACGCGCACGGCTCAACGACCTTCGAGAGTTCTACGATCCCGATACAGTTGACTTAATGAACTGGATTAGGTAAGTAGCTCCGTAAAACTTGAGCTGAAGGTGAGTGATATTTTGGCTGATCGATTGGTTTCTCTAAATTGGAGACAGCACTCATAATTTTGTCCAGTACAATGCAGTGAGGGAACATCTTCAGCCCCAACCAGCTGACATGCATTTTCTTTAACTCCTACGGTACTCTCTAGCGCGGCCACCCCTGCAGTGATCCGCTCTAATAAGACCAATACTTGTGTTCTCTTTCCTTAGCTTTCTTGCGAACTCTACCTCCGGAATACGACTTTTATCTAGTTCAACGCACCATTAGCTTCTTTACTGGCTTACGTGAATTTGGCTATTCGAGTAATCACGGCCGAATCAAGCGGTATGTCCGTTGAATGTCAAGTGTTGAGTGCAGGTGTGCATACAGACACACAAGCAAAAAAATCTAAAGAAGCGGCACTCATTGGTTCGTAGTTTCCAGTGATCTTCCCGGTCAGCTACTCAACCAAACACAAGACCTGGCCTCACGTATACGCTTTCACATAACTTATCTGTGTCCGCCTTCTTGACTGTTGTTTCGACCACTTCGACCGCATCGTTGGTAAGTACTACGCGTCGATTCCGCTTGTGTCAGTACACATGGATGATCTGATGATGCTTCTTGCAGTAGACCTAGTGATTTTACTGATTGTACACGTCTATTTCGAAGCTCTTTGTTCTCAAAAGATCAGGATGTGGTTAAGCCGTTGATACTGAGAGATAGGGAACGTGCGAACCAAGAACTTAATGCAATTCAACCCCGAAAACACTTCGTATTTACGAAAACACGAATAACTATGCCTAGTACTTCCAAAAGACGGACGCTTCCTGGTTTTTTATAAAATATGTTCCGTACTACGTTTGAATTTGCTTGGTTTTCTCGATGTCGTAGTGTAGGGAGCCTCAGACCGTCCATTCTGCCTTCTAATCGGCGCTAGTGCCGTTGCCATATCTTCGTCCTATGATAATGCTTCATTTTCAGTTTCCGCCCGCGTTTTTCTGATGGTTATCTCTCTATTATGTTGTCTCCGTATCTTCCCACAAAAGTATAATTTTTTGTATGGACTTGGCAACTTTCTCAAGATGTTCTACGCACGTGGTATTCATGATTTGAATTAAGTCCCGCATACACCGTAATTCACATTCCCAGCACCCATACTAATCCGGACGCAATATTTACGGGGTCAATGCAATTGATGGCAGGCGTCAAACTGTGCACTGGACGGGCTATCGCAAATCATCCACATTACGAAGATGCCCGGCTTCGTGAGAAAACTCGGCGGGTAAGCAACAATTTGGTTTCATGGAAAGTTGTTCTATGATCGTTGGACTGTCCTTCTGTTCGAAGTTTATTGCTATCGCCACTTTGGGGCTCAACGCTAGTGTCCGGTTTCCCGATCTCGTGAAAATTGGTACTTCCCCTCACTCAACTGTACATTCTTTGTGGCCATACTTTACTATACTATACTATGCTTTATTATACTTTACACATGTTCGTACGTTCTCATATGGCGGATTGAACCTTCTTACCGTACGCCAATGAGGTTTGCTTCGGGTCTCACATGCACCGAGTTTTAACCCAGGCCAAGGTTATGCTGATGTCCTTTTGATTCAACAAAACTAGCGGTGAAAAAAACCGTCCATTGCATCGGCATCTTTTTCCGAGCCTCATTAGCTTCTCCAATGAGTATGCGGCGCTTATTAGTGCCAATAATAATAAACATTTACCTGCAGCACACTCATGCCACAATGTCCAAACGAGACAGTTTCGAGCTGATATCTAGACATAATGAATATGGGTTACATGTTGGGTGCATAGGATAAAGAAAGTACTCACGTTAGTGAACCGTCGCTAACAGCGTGACATGATGTTGGTAAGCAGCCTGATTACAATACAATTACAATGAGAATATGGAGGAACCTTAGTCTAGAGTTCTTTAGAACAAAGCGCCCTTAGATCGTCGGACTGTGTATCCATACCCATTCAGTCAGCTGGTAATTTTCCTGATAACCGTTATTCTGTGTTGCACATGTTGCAATGAACTTCCTCACGCGATTACCAGAGAACGCAACAATCTGATGCGATATTTATAACCGGGTCGACACTTTATCAGGTCTTTGGGCTTAGGACTTGCCTAGGTGGCGTGGCAACCTAAAATCAGCCCGCGGATCATCAGTTTGCCGACCGAGATAAGTTTTTACAAGGGTCTTGTTTGAAGTTCTGGGCTACTGGATACCTTCATCTGTATAGTATCCTCGCTCTTCAGTTACTATTGTCCAGGTGTGAGCAGCCTGATGGTATATTGGTCGTCATGCTTCCGAAATTGTGCTACAACTGAACTTTTGCTTTGTTTCCGGTGGGTGAAAACTTCAGCCTGAAGTTGAATGCGGCCAGTTGTAATAGGGTGCATTCTGTTTACAACGGTTTTCTGAACGACCGCTCATATGCGCCCCCGGGGTCGTAGGTGATAAAGCGACAAACTAGGTGGAAAAGTCATGGAATTTTCTGGCTTTTCTCCTCAATTGGTTGAAAGCATGCGTTTCGACAAAGTGACCACCCGGTTGTTTTAGTCTTAACACAACATTCTGTGGCATAGTAGCCATTCGCCGTTATCACGATGCTTGAGGAGCGAGCATTATTAGAGTTCCATTCTTGAGATCGACTGATCCATTGGTTAACTGCACGAACTTTCGCTTCAATTATTCGGGTTCTGTCCTCAACGCTGGTCCCTTCAAGTTGGCTTCCGGTTCCTGTTATGGTGAATAAGAGGCATAGGTATACACTTTTGCTCCTAAATCCAAACGGAGGAGGATCACATACTTAGATATCTCCACTGATGCGTGTAGGTATCCATCCTCGCTGGCGTGAGGAGATTTAAAGTAATATTCCACGAATCCAGGATTTTCCTCATTAAGAACACCTCAAAAGGAGAAAAATTCAATGAAGGCCGTAAATTGGTCACTTTACAAATAAAGGACAATCTTTACAGATTGTGTAAAATCAGCAATTACTCTGTAGTTAAGGCCCGAACTTACTAACCGGGGGGTGGGGTCCGCAATTCAAACCTAACCCCAGCATCTTTCTCGACTGCTCCTTTCTAGGTTTCGCCCGCCTGGCACTGTCTTCGCCCTCGTGCTTCCTTCGAATAGCTTGACTGCTGGGCACTGACAGAGTAGTAGAGCTGAACTAATAATTATGTTTACATTTGAGTGCCGAAAAACTGCCCGGTCACTAAATTCACCTAAGGTTTGCTTACCGGGTAAATTTCATTCGAATGCTTCACTTAGACGGTATTTTCCCTTTCTATTTCACATCGGTTTTACTTTCTAACTTGTTTTTCTGTTGCATGTTGCATGTTTGTCAACTGCCCCCCCCGTAAGATCTAACAGTTCTGTTTGCCTACCCAATAGCTTTACCAAATATATGGAAGAAGGAATCCTGTGGATATCCATCGACTTCTACTCAACCACTCGATTACCCACATTATCATTGAGAATTCGATCTGCTTTGCCCCAAGTACCGGCTGTGCGGAAAGAGATCTAGTCGACCTGGACAACAGAGAGGTAATTTTTCAACCATCTTTCCGACGGGATGTTGTGCCCATTCGTAATTATCTGAAACGAGCTCTCCAACGTTTCTCTGCGTTTCTGAAATACGGTTCACGCTCTCTAATGGCCCTTTTTTTATCCTGAACTGCGCTTTCCAGCTAGGCTGTCATAAACTGAAGTGTCGATGGTTGTTCGAAGTCAAGTTACCTGAATCTAGCTTAGCGGCTTTTGAATTTCGCAAATTACAGCTGACGAACCAGTCGTGTTCCGACCCCGTTGTGTCACTGATAGTGGGCTTTTGTGCTCAATAACTTTATAGGTTTAACCTACTTGCGTCGAACGCGTCTCCAAACTAGAGTGCTTCGAATCCGCAAGGAAAAGGGGTATGGTGGTATACACCGTTCCGGGTCATGGATCGACTCAATATGCAGCAACAAACATCACTTATTGACCCAGGACCATTCACAGTAACACACCAACTGGTATCATGGGCGGGAAAATGTATATTTGATAAGATTCTAGATTCACTCATGAAAAAAACAGCCGACTGAGCAAACTATTGAAGAAGTCGCTGACAGTCTTTTAGCATTTGTGGCATTTGGTTGTTCTCCAAACGCACGTACGATAAAGTGTTTTTGAGGTATAACAAAATCTTTTCTCGAATTGGTTGTTATGGGGTGGTTACTGATATTAACCGACTCCCATGCCCTTTGTGCTTTTTAGGATGGGAACTCGGTTGTCTTGGGGGTATTTTCAACTGCTTTTGTCAGGACTGATGGAGCTCCTCACTTGAACTGGTCATTCAGTAGTTCGGGCATTTCCAGCAAACACGTGGTGGCCTTAAAATATGCCCAGAAAATCATCGATACAATTGACAACGTGCGAAGGCTTGTTTTCCAATGGTTGTCGTCAAACCAAAACACCACGATTCCCGATAACCTTAACTTGAAATTGGGACTCTGTGTAAATTAATTACCATTTCGTGATGTGTATCAGATTTCTGCAACATAGAGGTATCGAAAAGCCAGAAACACTATCAATTTAGCCGGCTTACGTAACAGCACGTTTTTTTTATATAGGCCGGCTTCGTCCGGATTTCGACTCGTGAGACCACGTCAGAAGCCCGGAGAACCGTATCATGGAGTAAACTGGAGAGAGCGAGAACGTAACCCCCTGCTTGCTTTTATGGGAGTAGTACTTCATGGAGACAGGTAGCATAAAAATTGCCTCACCGAAAGTATTGTTGCCTTTTGAGGAGTGTTTTGTGTGCATGGATTTGCTCGTTTTGTGATAAGCTTGTATAAGCTGAAGAAATCTGGAACGATGTAGTTTTAGTTCGAAACTGGCCCTATTATTAGCTGCCAGCAACAATGTAACTACTCGCGATATCTCTGGGAAGCATTCTAACACTATGAGCACAAATACGGTGATGCACTCCACCTCATTGCAGACCCACATCTTAAAAAGACCCTGCTCGGAGACGGTCACCTAATGTAACTTGTAGTTCTTTCGAAATTAACGTAAGCATTGCTCTTCATGGTGTTTCTTGGTTGAGCTGCTTAGAGAATAAACAACGCTCCTTCTTCGTTGTTTGCTGCGGGGATGAACTTTCTTCGCTAATGACTACGCGTCCACTTTATTTTGAGACCTTACTGCTTGTTCACAACCATTCTTTTAGTGGCCCGATTTGTGGCTGGCAAAGCCCGAACTTGTAAAAACCCGTACAATCAGTGACTCGTATCACCTGGATGAAGAAACCTGGTCAGCGCTACAGCAGCCTAATCAAGCTGCTGTCAGACTGTGCTCGGAACTGACCCAACTTTCTGCCCACCACAGTGAAAATTATCCGACTCTACAACAACGGCGTTTGTCACGTTTGTTTACTTTGGTGTACGAAAATCCCACATTTTATATTTTCAAAGTGAATTTTGTTGCATAGTGACCCTGTGAAACACGTTTGTGTTCCGTTGTGCGTGTGACTGTTATCCAAAAACCGTTTTATTATTAGTCCATTCATTTGGATTTCTCCTTCCTGTCTTCATCAAAAAACCCCGCATGAAGTAAGCGCATTTGACAGCTGATCTACTGGACCTAGTCAATCAATCCGCATCATCACACGTGAAAATTAAAATGTCTCCACGTTTGTGTTAGCGTAACCTGCTGTGCGACAACTGAACGGACCTTACAGTGCGGTGCCTTTTATAAAACCTAACACAATCATGGGGTGCACGCCCAAAATATTTCCTAGCATTGTTGTATTAACATTTTGGTCGGACGATCGTCGAATAGTCAGATATCTGGAGTGCGATAACATTGTCAAGGTTGTCAACCAACAGATTTAGGGCTACAGTGACGCCTTGAAGTTTGTACCTCGAAAATGTGTAGTCATATGGTTTCGTAATGCAGCTCAGCAGATGGAAAGCATCCGGAATAGTCTTCAGCTCACACCGCAGTCTGCTTCGGTAAGCACCGGGACCCGCGAACATGTTGGAAGGTTGTCCAGAAAGCAGTACCCAATCCACGCCGCACTTCTCAGTAGTGAATGATACTTGAACAAAGCCGGCCCACGTCTGACTCCGTTTGTCGGTCATCCATGTGAATTAGTTGAAACAAACCACTGATTCGATAGATGGTGTTCTCAATTCACTACATAAGATAAAATATGATACGGGAAAAGTGAACATAACCAACAGGTTTATTCTTCATCCGCTCTGATCTACCCAAATCTGTGTGCACGATACACAGTGTACACATATATAAGTGGCCTTCTGACATGCAACAACCCTCCTGGATGTACGCTCTTACTATCCCAGGCAGTCGCAATTAAGTGGAGAAGAACGGCGCCCATTAGACGCTGCGAGGAACGAGCACAGCTGAGCAGAAACGTGCTACTGGTAAGGAAACAGTTGACTGATGTTAGCATATTGTCCCCAAGGAACTTACAACTAGCCAAGCCCAGTTTGGTTGTCTAGATTCCAGGCATAGGTTCAGCCTTCATCGCACACACAATGAACGTCTTCTCGGTAAGGTGAATGAAGGTTTTCAGGTACCCGCTCAGAGTCCTGCAGGTCGGTCAACTATATGCATTACATGTATGGTACCGTTTCTTAGCTTAAGGAAGCAGTGATCGTTCCCACAGTTGGGCTCGTGCTCATTCAGGGGTGTGTGCTGCTTGGCTTGGCGCATGCGCCATGTTGATCTTCCGCTTAGGTCGACTTCATCCAATGCCTGCAATGTATGGGTTGGCTGCTCTTGGCCACTGTGGTTTATAGCAGTGTGTGTGTTCGAGGACATTGGGCTATCGTAGAGCCATTGATCTGTATTTGCGAGCTGTGTAAAGCTTTGGTTAATTACCTCAATCGATGTGGGGCACATTACTGAGCTGGTTTCTTTAAAATACTGCTCGATTATTCAAAATAATATCATGCTATTTGGCGCGAACGGGGTTGGTGTAATTGAGATCTAAATGAATGAGTGATTTGTTGTGTTCTCCAAACGGGTGTGCTGTTTCTACTTTCAAGCTGTCGAAGTACTTTACCATACGCAGCCCACTGTGTAGGACCACCTAATCTGGCTTTTGGGGGATTAACCTACTAGTGATTGTTTAACAGCATTGTATGGGGAAATATCGTATCGTACTAGCTCTTAAAAGCACGTTGACTCACCTGAACATGACTACAGGTTGTTGCTTCTGCCCAACCGCGTGAGTCCCGCCGACTCCAACTAATTTATTGCTCACGATGAAGCAAGCATCGAGAGGACGGTACGCTCAACCTAGGTCAAATTGTCGTTTTTAGCGGGAAATAATGATGCAGCGGTGAACTCCCCATCCACCTCACGGGCTGCAAGCTAGAGTAGACCAGCTTTGTAGAGACCGGGGCCGAATTCTGCCAGCAGATCGAACGCAAACGCAGACTTCGACTTCAGAAAACCAGTGCGAAAGTCCAAAAGCACTAGTCTGTCAACCGAGAAGATGCTTAAAAGCTCTCACCTCACGGGGTATCTGCACTGAAACCCATTTCGTAAGACCGTTCTTGGAGTACGAACCTAAAATGTCCCTGTGTTACTGCGGCTAAATTGGTCACCAGGATTTTGGATGAGGTTAGAACTCTTGATCTCTGAGGCTGAAACTACAAATCCTACAACCCGTACTTGGAAAACCTGCATACACCGATCTGATCATTCTAATCGCGGACGAGCCAGCTGTCCGGACGAATACAAAAAAAGGTCATGCACAGCGAAGTGATATTCCCTGGTGGACCAGACGACCTGTAAAGGCCTTGCAGATACACTTCGACAGCCTAATTGAGTCAGCAGGCCCAGGGAGCCAAGAAAATATATTTCTCGCAAATCCTCGAACATCCACAGATTTCCTTCCAATAGGTGGTGCTGCACGAACTACCAGTAGACACTTGAAATTTTTGGCCGCGAGGAGGCAACTGCATCCACCAAAAGCAAACGTTCCGCGCAACCCTTTAGATAAACAACAGGCATTGGACTTACCAAGACAGAAAGCTGACAAGCGCGCCTTGGGTCGTTTGTTTCAAGGCTGGGCGGAAGTTTTAATTCTGCTAGCCCACATAGTAACACATCTCTGCTCCGTAAATTCGGACGCAGCAGATGTAAGGTTGAAGTGTTTGCATTGAAACCACCTCAATGTTCTCAACAAATATCTCGATATTCAAAAAACCGGCTTGCAATAAACAGCCATCCGTTATAGCAGTTACTGGAAGAGATGGTTCTGGTGCGGGGGTCTCGACAGACAGCCACCAGATTAGCTGGCTGAATCGAAAGATGTTTTATACCCAATTACTACCGTGCCCACCCTGAATGTTCTTTCCAACACTACTCCCGCACTCTTCTGTGATGCACTATGGATTTAAACTCCACTACGTAGAGCAGATTCTCCACCCCCGATGTCGTCTGCCGTTACCCCTCGAGCTGAACGGAAGACGACATTTTTTAAACAAACCCCTGTTCAGCTGTGGTGAACATTGACTCTATTCTATTCATTCTGTTTGGTGTTTTTTATATGCCTTTGTTTTACGATGCGATTGATTGTACGCCCGCGATATTCGAGAATATACGGTATTCATTCGTCCATATTCGGACTTCTATACTACGCGTACATTCGGTAGTTGAGATACCTACCACTAGTATAATTATCACATCTAGACAGGAACAGTCGACATGAAGAGGTTGCGTTCGACCCACAGACCTTCCGGTCACTAAGTTCACGCTCTT